GTGAGCTGGACTACTAACTGAAAGGTTGGCAGTTCAATCCCACCCAAGGATGCTGCAGAAGGAAGACCCGGCCATCTGCTTTTATAAAGGTCACAGTCAAGGAAACCCTGTGGGGCCATTCTAATCTGGGTGCCCATGAGTCAGAATTGACTTGATGCCAGTGGGTCACATAGCATCCTCTCTGTGTCATAATGACGTTTCTAATGCCATTTTAAACTCCAAACCAGAAATGGCATGGCCAATGTCACAGATGAGAACAGTCAGACTACCCCTAAAATCATAAAAAAGAAAAGAGGTTGTTATGATCAACTCGTGTCCTCTGGAAGACATGTTGACATCTTAGCTCCTGGTACTTGTGGACTTGACCTTGTGTGGAAACGTCATCAGTTAACATGAGGTCATATAAAAGAGAGGAGACACAGGAAGACGGATGAAGGACATCATCTGATGGTGCAGCTCTAAGCCAAGGACAGCCTGGGGCCGCCAGAAGCTGGGAAAGAGGCACTGAGCCATTGAGCAGATTCTCCTTCAGAGCCTCAGAACAAATCAACATGGCTGACACCCTGGTCTTGGACTTCCAGTGTCCAGATGGTAAGAATAAACTTCTGTTCCTTTAAGCCATCCACTTCGTGTATTTTGTTATGGCAGCCCCAGGACACTAACACAGAAGCAGGATCAATGTGGAACAAGAGAGAAGGAAGAGAATGGTGTGTGGTGAGTGTGCACATGTGTGTGTGTGTGTGATGTGCATATGTGTGAGTGTGTATGTGCATGCATGTGTATGTGTGTGATGTGCATATATGTGTGAGTGTGTGTGCATGCATAAGTGTGTGTGGTGAGCACATGTGTGAGCATGCATGTGAGATGTGTGTGAGTGAGTGTGGTAGTTAAGGTTGTGTGTCAACTTGCCTGGGCCATGATTTTGACTGTCTGGGCAGCTACCTGTAGTTATTTCCCATGAAGAGATTCGTAATCAACTCCATGGCGGAATCTTCTATGAGCAGCTGTTGTTGCCTTTGGGGTGTGGCCTGCTTCCAGTATACATGGGGAAGCTTTGAGGAAGCCTCCAGCTTTTGGCCCATCTGGATCCTGTATTTGGCCAAGTCTTCATCTCAGTGCCATTTTGTCTGCTGATCTTGAGATTTTCCTGGACTTGAACTAGTGGCCTTCCATGTTGCTTGCTGATCCCAGGACTGTGCCATCTCACCGGTGGATATTGGGTTCATTGGCCTCAGCAGCAAGCAGCTGCATGAGTCAGCTTTTTCTGAGGCAGAGTTGAAGCCCAAGGTCAACGGGCCTTCATCCAGCCCCTAGAGCGGGCACTTGGAACTCAAACTTCCAGCCTCCTAAACTGTAAGGAAATAAATCTCTGTTTGTTAAAACCGTCCACTTGTGGAGTATCTGTTACAGCAGCATAGATGTGTGTGGTGAGTGTGTGTGTGTGGGTATCTGTGTGCATATACGTGATGTCTATGGTGACTGTGTGTGCATGTGTGTGGTGAGTGTACACACATGTGCATTGTATGTATGTGTGGTGTGTGTGGTGAGTGTGCATGCACATGTGTGTACAGCTGCATGCATGTTTGATGTGCATGTGGTGAGTATATGTGTGAGTGGCCGTGTGTGCATATGTGTATGTGGTGAGTATATGTGTGAGTGTATGTGTATGTGTAGTTGCATGTGGTGAGTGTGTGTGTGTGTGTGCCTGTGGTGAGTATATGTGTGACCATGCATGTGTGTGCATGTGTACATGCATGTGGTGAGCATATATTTAAGTGCGCATGTGCATGCCTACATGCATATTGTGAGTATATATGTGTGTATGTGTACATGTGTGTCATCAGCATACACGTGAGCATGTACACACATGCATATGGTCATGTGTGTGACGAACATGTGGGCAAGTGTGCATATGCATGCCTACATGCATGTTGCGAGTATATGTGTAACAGTGTGTGCATGTGTATGTGTGTGGCAAGCATATGTGTGAGTGTGTATGTGCATGTATGTGTATGTGTGTGGTGTGCATATATGTGTGAGTGTGTGTGCATGCATAAGTGTGTGTGGTGAGCACATGTGTGAGCATGCATGTGTGTGGGTGTGCACAAACGTGTGGTATGTTGATGTGCGAGTGTGCACGTGTGTGTGGTGGGTATATGTGTGAGTGTGCATGTGTATGTGATGTGCATATGGTAGATATATGTGTGAGTGTACATGTGCATGTACATGTATGTGCACGTGGTGGGTGTACGTGTGAGTGTGCACGAGTATGTGTGTGAGACTTCCAGCCTCCTAAACTCTAAGAGAACTGTGGAGTTGGATAAGAATAATGAAAATTCCATGGGATGTGAGAAGAAAGAATAACTCTTTCTCGATAATACTCCTACCTCTCTTACTGAGGTCAGCAGGGTTCTCCTTTCATGCAGGACCAGGGAAGGGCAGGTAGGTGGTCATGGTTGGCAATGTTTAACATGACTCTCAGCCTCCATCTCCCATCCTGCCCCTTACCGCCTGTGCTGGAACAAATGGCATATTCACTTCATAGTGCCAATCTTCTAGGCAAGTGTTACAGAAATGGACTACTTCAATGCAAACCCGAATAACTAGAAATGACTGAATTAATGTTCTGTGCCCATGGTGATAAGTGAGCCATGGACACATGTTTACAGTTCATGATGTAATCTTACACACATTATCTCCTGGATCTCCTTGACCGCATGTATGGACACCATTACTACACAGGCCAGGGCGTTCAGGCAGTGAAAGGCGGCAGATACAGAGTGAGCTCCTGAGAGGAGCGGTCTGATGAGTGACAGACTCTGTGAGCCTGTGAGGTGACACCTGCCTGGCCTGGCTGTGAGGACAAGAGAGATCCTGTGTGGAGCCTGACCCCGAGGAACAGCAGAACAGAGCTGCTGTAGTAGGCACCGATGTGTGTGTCTGTGATTAATGTATTTTGCGATTGGAAAAGCTGATCCAGTTTAGGTGGTAAACTATTAAAAGACAAGGGTTCTGTCCATAGTGGCTTCCCCTGTTTGGTGCTCAGTACATGCCAGTTGTTCACAGTGTATTGATGATGTATTGATACACGTTGTCATCCTAACCCTACACCTGTGGCTGTGATCCGGCTTAGAAACAGGTTTCTTTGTTTCATGACTGAGACTCTATCCACATAGGATGGGTCGTACACCTAAGTGCTTCTGCATAACTATAAGAGCAGATTAGATAATAAGTAAGCATGTGCTGGGGGAGAAAGACACCAGGTGGACAAGCCAAGAAACACCAGGGTATTGACAAGGAGGGACTTGATACTGATGAGACTCTAATTTGAACTTCTAGCCTCCAGCACTGTGAGGTAACAAATTACTGTAAAGCCACCTACTTGTGCCATTTCTGTTAGAGCAGCCCTAGGGGACTGATACATTGCTTTCCTCAGTACTCATAGTCTGACATTTGGAAGAGTACCAAAGAGGCATGAAGTCCACTTTTGAGAGTTCTCCTTCATCCAGACATCACTTGGCTATTCTCCCGTGATAACCACCACAGCTTGCCAAGGAAGATTGGACATTTGGGTATACTGAGTCTCTTGTTGAAAGCTCTGGTGGTGTAGTGTCTAAGGCATTTGACTGCTAACCAGAAGGTTAGCAGTTCAAACCCATCAGCCACTCCATGGAAGGAAGACTGGGCAATGTACTTCTGTAAAGATTTACCGCCTCAGAAACCCAAAGGGGGTTGCTGTGAGTCAGAATCAACTTGATGGCAGTGAGTTAGGGTTTTTGGTTTTGAATCATAAGACTTTCCTTCTTATCATCATTCTGTCCCCTTAAGCTTGCAGCTATAGTACCCAGTAGAGAGGGCAAATGCAACATTGGCTTTTGGATTGAATTGCATCATTTTCTGGCTTAAGAAGAGAGTGAACTTGGGATTTAAAATTCCTAAGTTTGGCGTTGGTAATTAAACATTGCATACAAGGTAAACTTTTATTGTTGTAGTTGTTGGAATTCCCCAATCATCAAGAACAGTGCCAACAAAACACTTAAAAAGCACTGGCATTCTTATTTTTATGTAAGATTCAGGAAGGGAAGTATTTTGACAGAAAGTTATGCTAGAATGTCATACTATGTGGGCAGAACTGAAACTAGATCCCTGTAGAAATAACTCAGCAGGGATTGAATGAAACTCCTCCTCCCCAAAAATGAAAAGAGGGAGCTCTGGTTGCACAGTGCCTATGGCATTTGACTGCTATCCAGAAGGTAGGCAGTTCAAACCTACCAACCACTCCTTGGAAGGAAGACCAGGCAAGTCACTTGGGTAGAGATATCACCTCAGAAACTCAAGGAGGGGACGCTGAGTCGTAATCGACTCGATGGCAGTGAATTTGGATTTTTTGAACATGAAATGGAGTCCTGGGCTCTGTCAGTTATTCTGTTCCTAGATTTTGTTATTAGAACTGGTAGCTGGAATTGAAGACTATAGGTCTGGACTACACAAGGGCCTGTATAAGGATGACCATTGAGAAATCGCAGCGGGCATTGTCCTGTCTACACAATTCCAAGAGGGGATGTGCATGCAGTCTGCTAGTGTGTGCTCAGGTCTCTGTATAATTATTTTTGGCAGGGAGGTCTGTCAAGTCTGGTTAAAAAGGAAATCTAGTCACCTCTGTAAAGTCCACTTTGCCTGTGCATGGCAGGGGCACAGTTGTGATGGTTGGGACAACGGTTGCCTATGAGGGTCTTTGAATCATGAGCCACACAGACAGGATCGTGTCTCCCCATGTCTCTGTGCTCACCACCAACTCATGGCTGGCAGGTGCTAAATGTGGCTTTCAAATGAATGAACCAATAAACTGAGGCATGTGTGTTTGGGGCCATGCTCCAGGTGGGTGAGGAACTGCTCCCAGTCATTCTAGCAGTATGCCAATTTCAGGATTCCATGACTATGTGCTCTGAGCACATACACATAGACCTGCTCTGGGCCAATGCTCACATGCATGCACTCACATGCATACGCACGCACACACACACGTGTGCACACATGTGTGCACACATGTGTGCACACAGTACATACACACACTCACCCCATGCACACATACATCTACATGTATGCAGACATGTGTATGGACACACCCATGCACCCATGCACATGTGCACATGCTTGAACACATGCAAATATCCACACACATACACACATCACACTCACATATCTGCACTCACATACATGCACACATGTGTACACACATACATGTGCACTCACATACATGTGCCCAAACCACCACATGCATGAATACACACATATGCACATACTCACATGCATGCACACATGCACACACATGAATGCACTCACACACATGTCACACTCACACATACATTCACCTGTATATGTACACACATGTACGCACATTGTGCACACACTCACACACATGCAACAATGCACTCACATGCATACACACACTCACACATACACTCACATGTATGCATGCACATAGTTTACACACATGCATGCACAGACATGTGCATGCTCACATGCACACAATGCGCTCACACAGAGTATGCACTCACACATATGCACTCACATGTTTGCACTCACACATGCACATCCATGCACACAATCACACATGCACTTACATGTAGACACTCACATGCAGGCACTCACTTCTATGCACACATACATGTACTCTCGTGTATGCACATACATGTACACACTCACATGCATGCACACACACTCACAGCTGATTCTCCTGCTATCCACAGTGGTCAACAGTGAATCTTGAACCACTGCTCCAGGGGAAACACATCACTATATTCCTGGGAGCCTCTGGTCACAGTATTTTCATCAATGGATCAGTATGCAATATTGTTCTGTGTGTTTCTGTTTAAGACATCTTACTTGATCTGTGCTGTTGATTCATGAACACTGAGCCCATGGGCAATAGGCTGTAACTTGTGCCTGAATAGAGTTCATCTCCCCACTTTCTTTGGGGGCACATCAAGCCATCCTGTGCTCAGGAGCAGGAGACAGCATTTCAGTGTTGTGCTGGAAGCCATTTTAAACATCAGTGTCCTCAGCTGGGATGTGCTCATTGGTGCTTCACCACCTGGTCGGAGCTTCACTGAGTCTGGCTCAGCCGATACGTGTGGGTGGGAACTTCACCGTGTTGTCAGAGCTTCGCCGTGTTGGTGTTATTGGAGCTTCACCACTTTGTCATACCTTCACCACATTGTTGGGGCTTCACCACCTGGTCGGAGCTTCACTGTGTTGGGCTAAGCTGGTACATGCGTGTCAGGAGACTCAGATCTGTAACCATTCTGAGCGTGTCCATGCTGGCTGTTAGAGCACTGTGAGTTTCATTCAAGGGGTCCCAAGTGCATTTCATCAAACAGGAGAGTTCTCAGATCAGAATTCATGAATAATGAGGACAGACTGCACTTTAAACACGGACGCCTGTGGGCATGATGTCACTGTTTACTACAGGCAGTCCCCGAGTTACAAACATCTGATTTAGTACAACCAGTAGCTACTGTAAAGCCTGTTGTTGTTGTTGTTACTTGCCGT